ATCACGCTTCTAATTGTGCATCTTCTGAATTTTTGTATAAAAGTGGACTATTGAATACATGTGTTTTTTTTATATATAAAAGCGGACAGCTGAATTTAGAACGGTTTTGTTACATCCAAACATTGATACATTGAGGCGTGTCCGGTGACTTTACAAAACTGTCTAGTTTTCGGTAGCTTATGAAAAACAGAGAATGCTAGAAAACTGAAGGCTGAAATCTTGTTTAAAACAGATTTACAAATACGGTCAACTGTGTTTAGGACCTAGCCAACTTTTAAATGGAAAATTATTTCTTTAAGCATTTCTGTACCACGTTGCATTTTGACTGACAGTTCTATTTTTGTCACTAGAAAAATCAGCGATTTAACGTTCCACTACCAGGTGTGTATTCAGTTATACTTGCTGTAGTAGATAAAGCTGGTAATGTGAGACTTACCAGACGATGTTTGATATTTGAAGATAAAAACCACGTATCAACTGTCCAGAATACAAATTTAACACCCACATCAGCCCTACCCTCTACTAACTATACCTGGCAACAAAAGCATGGTCCTGTTACTATTGACTGGGAAAATAGATATGTTAATACGAAACATCATAATGGTAAATATCTAGCTGGGATCCAGGATTATCATGGTCTAGTCTCAGAATATGATGATCATTATGGTACAAGGACAACCAAACCCATTGATAATTTTCAAGGTATGAAAGTCAAGAAAGCATACTTCCATAATTATTTATGTCCACGAGCAAAATGATACTCTAAATTACCTCTACTGTTGAATTCAGCCTGTCTTGCAAGTCAGTTTAACACAAATGCCTACAAGTCACACATAACATAACTTCGCGTTTTTGGGCAAAAAAGCTTAAAACGCATGCTTGAAAGTAAAAGATCTGAATCTGAAACGGTCTGAATATACTTATGCATTCTGAATTACAATAGATATAATCCTTTTATGATTAAAAATACCTGCTCTAATTCTGCATCTAATTTGATCGTAATTTATGTTTTGTTCGATACCTTGAGCTAATAAGTAAAATATAGCAATTTAAAAAATTACAGATTTTGACTTTTGTCGATCGATCTGAAAATTTACATGTAGATACAAATTTTGATTGCGAACAAAAATCTATTTCAAATGTTGATATCACTTCCGGTTTTGATGTAATTCGCCTAAAAACGTGAAATTACATCTTCCGGAATTTTGTAGATATTTTTGCCATTAGTTAGAATTTTCCCTATAAAGATTTTGGAATGAAATATTTGACCTGGTCAGACCAATTTTTGTAAAACTCTAAATGGTTCCTGAGGGATATAGCTGATTTGTTTGTCTATATAATCTGCTAACAAAACATGGGAAGAAGATTTTTTAATTTGGCCTTGCTTTTGTTGTATTTCCTGTTATATATTTTCAGTAAGTGCCAATTTTTGTAAGGCTCATATTTAGAGACCTTGACCTTTTGACCTGTACAAAAGTTGTTGCCCCTGGTGTGATATATTTATTAACATCTTCAAATTTGTTTTGCGATACTTCTGGTTTTACGGCCATTTGAAAATCGCAATTTTCAACTTTAAAGAGCTCTGTCACGTGACCTAATTAACATACGACAAAAATTATTTTATATTTTAAATGTTCGCGGTGTCTTCATCTGCTGATATATCACACATGGGATTTTGATCAAATTTGCACTTTTTGAAATTTGAAAATTCTGTAACGACTTATATTGTAACTGTGCGTAAATTGGTTTTTGCCCTATAAACTCAAGTCTTTAAGGCAAAACACTGAATATAATTATCATGATCTTGCAAATATAAACAAGTAAACAATAAGAAATAAGTAATAAAATTTTCAGGGTGGACGTAGCACATCCGGGTAGGATTCACATATCCCTAACGTAATTGAAATTTTCATATCTCTCAAGTCAAAGTATGCATTTGTCAATCATTGAATTTTGCATCATTTTTTTTTGGCCAGTTCCAGGTTTACATAGGTTTGCATTTTACAAATTTTATTTTTTGACCTTTAAGGTCATTGATCTAGGATGTCCATTCATACTTTGCTGTCCCACATATACTTCTGCTTTTACAGACGTCCGAAAACAGCAACTTTCAAAGCTGATATCTCTTTTGTTTGACCTCTTGAACAGAACAAAAGTTATTGTTCTTGACGAGATATATTCAATTCAATGTTGTACGATGTTTACTTCCAGTTATACAGCTATTTGAAAATAGACCTTTTACTACCGAATGTTATCAAATTCATGCGTCTACCGAACGTTTAATGGTTTACCGACTTTTTACTACCAAATTTTCTTTTCGATAAAACATCCCACTATGACTCTAAAATGTATCAGGTCGGATACGCACTGTATGGATATCGTCCGGTTAT